AGACTAATAATAGCAGTATGTTATGCATCAATAGTAGCAACAGCTTTTCCAGGTTCTGCAGTCATCTGAACAAAATTATAGACATTCAGCACATTCCATTAAAAAAAAACAAAGAATAATATCCAGAAAACAGCAAAGATCTGTTGCTGTTGTGGTACCTGGGAACATTTTTTTATTAGCATCTTAATCATCATCTGGAAAGAGAACATTCTAGAGTAATATCATTAAATGTAGCTCTGATAAAGCACGGTCCCTACTATGTATCATAAAGCAGGTACAAGATATTTTACATTCATAGAGGTATGATACTACTGTATCATACATCAATAATACTAGATGTCCTACATCAATAATACTAGAATCAGTTTTGGTTTGAAATTTACTTTGCAAATAAGATTGCTACCCCTGTTTTTTTCTGGGCTCCTGTCACATGGAGAATTGTTTTCTATCGTTTCACTTTCAGTCTATGGGCTTCTTTTTGCACTAGGTGTGTTTCTTGTATACAACATATTGTTGGATTTTGCTTCTTATTCTATTTTGCCAGTCTTAAGAAATAGGATGTTTTTGTAGTCTCAAAATATTTAATTACAAAGGGAAATATAGTAACCTAACAGCAGAGAAAACCATCAAGATACTATTTGAACCAAGTGATAAATTTAACATCACCAGTAATGACACATTGGCATCTTACATCCCCAAAGTATGGACTGAGAACAACATAGCATCATTTTTGTAATATTATTTCAAAAAATCCATAATTTCATTCTAATCATGAGAAAACATTTGATAACCCCCAACTGGCTTTCCATTTTACAAAATAATTACAAGTAATTTTAAAATCATGAAAGACGGAGAGTGAGGAACTCACAGATTAGAAGTTACCATAAAGATGCATGACTATTGCCATGTCAGATCCTGGGTTGAATTCTAAAACAGACTTTAAGGGGGAAAGTGGTGAAATTTGAATAAAATCTATAGTATAATAGTATATAGCACAGTTAATTACCTAGATCATTGTACTCTTGTTATGTAAAAGGTTAACATTAGATGAAACTGAGGGATACAGGGGTATAGGAACCCTGTGCTATTTTATATTTCTGTAAGTGTAGAATTATTTATAAGTAATTGTAAAGTGATGGCTACGTGAACAATGTAATTTATCAGTGGATATTTGTTCTTTAATAGAGTTAAGGATGGTCCTGTAAAATTGTTTTTGAGTAACCTATATTGTTTATTTAAGTTCAAAGAGCCCAAGAAAATAATGCAGGAAGTATTACCTTACTCTTTATTAAATCCAGAATAAGCTAGCTTCCCTGTCAATACTACAAACCCTTCCAAACAGAAGTTGATCTGGCCATTTCAGAAGTTAGAAATGTTTGGTCTTTTGGAAATGAATGTTGGGAGAGAGTAATATTTTTAAAAGGAGAACATTAAGTGCAATTAGTTCCAAAGTGATGGTCTTTTCAAGATATGTGCAATGTGTCTTCCCCAGGTATTCCGGAAGGACCTCATCAGTGCCATGAAAATTCCAGATTCTCACCACATTAATCCTGATAGCTATTATCTGTTTTCGGACTCGTGGAAAGAAGAATGGGAAAAGGGAGTCCAAGTACCAGCCAATCTAGATGCTGTTCCACAGCCTTCTCTCAGGTATTTGCATGTTCAGTAATGCACTGAGATCTACAGTGTATTATACCACGTCATGATAGATAAGTAATTAAAGTGAAGCTCATTTGTGTAGGAATATAATAGCCCATTCACAGTATGAAATTGTCTGAGGTCCAATCTGAAATTATAAGAATTTGGAGACTCCACATCTGATTCAACAATCGGTAGCATTTTTTAAGTCTTCCAAGAGAAACCACTAATTAATAACTTCCTCATGAAAAGTTACTTCAGTGTAACTGAGGCCTCATAGTGATGGTATCAATAGATGGCCAAAACTTGCAGTTTAAAAGTGCATAAGCTCTAGTTAAAGGGGCGTATTGAATAATTGGATTAACTGTAAGCACATGGCCTTCACTTGCAAAGATTTGAGAAGAAAGTTGAGATACAAGTGGGCTTTCATTTTATGGAAAGAGGGGAGAAGGACTCTTCTGCCAGAGGAAGTGGTAAGTTTAGCTTCTAGAATAGTTGCTGGTTTTGAAATTCATTTTGTCTTCCTGGGGTTTGTGTGTTCCCAGTGCTTTATACAAAGGATAGCATGAAGTGAAATGTTGTATAAATTTGAGTCAATGAAGGAATAAAAAATAGAATACAAAGGAAGCTCCAGGTAAAGGAGCTGGTTGGACCTGCTCGTTACTATGAGAAATTATAGATTCTTGGGACCTAGTTATGCTCCAGAAATGTTTGTTGAATCAGTTCTAGAAACCCAGGCCCAAGTTGTCCTACCCATAGAGAGGCTGTCAGTACTCTGTTCAGGCAAGTACCACAATCTTGTTCAACACATGTTCCAAGCTAAACTCAATACCTCTTTCCTGCCTCCTAAAAATCAGAATAACATCGAGAATGAACAAAAGAGTTGAGCATTTTCATATCCTTGCTGTGCATATTTTTATATGGCTACAGCAGCCCTGGTGCTGAACTGACCACCATTCCATTGATACTCCAGGGATTATTGAAACGTGTGACTTTGGTCTTAATGTTAAGTCATTTATCAATCATCTTATTCAATGGAGGTGCTTTTAATCATTTCAAGTCAGATGGAAAATATCCAGTGTACCATTTTAAAAATAGTATCCATCTGATAAGTAGGGTGACAAGAGTATATCAGTAGTTTAGGAAGTGAACTCAGAGACTAAAAGAGTTAATTTGTTCCTGAGAGTTTAGAAGACCATTTTAAGTGCTGTGAATTTTTGTTAAGTCTCTGCTGTTTGCCATAGTTCTTTGCCTAACTCATAAAACCCTTAATTTTAATTGGAAAAACCACACTACTACATTATTGATTGTATTAAATTTCTTAATGAAATCCAACTCCTGGTTGGTGTTTATAGGTAGGATGTATCATTTTCTGTTTCTTAGAAGGCATCAGTAAGAATCGTACTGTCGAATAGAGCATTTACTTTGGAACAGCTGTTCTCAAAATTTAGGTAACATCAAAATCACCTGAGGGGTTTGTTAAGACAGATTTCTGAACCATATGCTCAGTACTTTTGATTGAGTAGATCTGAGATATGCAGTCTGAGAATTTGCATTTCTAATAGTTATCCTAATGATTTTGATGCTACTTGTCTAGTGGCACTTGGAGGAGAAGAGTTGGGCCGGGGATTTAACTCAGTGGCGCTGCACCTGCCTTACAAGCACAAAGTCCTGAGTTTCATCGCCAGTACTGGGAACACACACACACACACACACACACACACGATCAATTGTTCTAGAATATCTTATTTATTGAATTTAATGAAAATCACTTTTGTCAGGTTCCTTAGATTTCCCTTTTGGCTTTAAATATGAGTCAACCATATTGGAGGTTCAACTGATTTAAGCTTAAAGTGTAATACCTAATCCCTTCAGCCATTCTTATTGCAGCTATCATCATTTTGCAGGGCTCAAACTGTTATAATTTTTACTTTTTACGTTTTGTAGGCCACCTTAAAATTTTTTGTGATATGAAATGATACTGGAACATTGATGAATTAATTTGTGTGTCCCTTGTCTAATTTTCAAATTCAGATGAGTTCAATTAACATTTTGGGAGCTGGGTGTGGTGGCACATGCCTGTAATCCCAGCATTTTGGAGGCTGAGGCAGAAGGATTGCTGCAAGTTTAAGACCAGCCTGGACTACATAGTAAGTTCAAGGCCAGTCTGAAGTATATAGCAAGACCCTGTCTCTAAAAACCAAAACATCAGCAAAAACATTATGGGCTACTATATAAATTCAAGTTTATTTGGCCCCATGGTGTGAACTTAATCCAACACTGGCTTTTTACATAGGGCCTAGCCTTAAGGTTTTTGACAAAGCTTCCTATTTCTCATCCATATATCCTTTTCAGTAAAATGTATCACCTTCATGTCTTTTGCCCATTTTTAATGGGATTCTTTGTTTTTTAATATTAAATTTTGAGATTTATACATTTTAATGAGTCTTGTTAAATATGCAATTTGTAAATATTTGCTCCTAGTCTGTTTTATATTGCCTCTTCATCCTCTTACCAGGATCTTTTACAAAGTAAAAGTTTGTGATTTTGATGAAGTTCATATTTACTGATTTTTTTTCTATTGGATCATGTTTTTAATGTCATGTCTATTAATTCACCTAGCCCCAACAATTTTCTGCTGTTTTAAGCATTTTATATGGGGTGTACTAGTATGGTCATTATAGGTAATAATTAGTTATGGTGAATATAGATAATAATTATGTACTGTGCATTTCAAAAAGCTAGAAGAAGCCAGGTGTGGTGTTGTACACATGTAATCCCAATCCCAGCACTCAGGAGACTAAAACGGAAGGATCACAAATTCAAGTCCAGCCAGGGCTACATAGCATTTCTGAGGTCACCCTGAGCTACATAGCAAGACTCTGTCTCAAAAATAAAGCTACAAGGGCCAGCAATTTAACTTAGTGATGCCACCGCCTGCCTCACAAGTGTAAGGTCCAAAGTTCGATCCCTGGTACCAAATATAAAAATAAAAATAAAGCTACAAGAAAAGATTTTGAAAGTTTTCACCACATGAGAAAATAAATGTGTATAACCTGATGTAAACATTATGCAGCATAGCCAGGCTCAGTGACACATACCTGTAATCCTAGCACTTTGTCTATGTCCATACCACTCTGAACATGCCCAATCCCAGCACTCTGGGAGGCTGAGGCAGAAGGATCAAAAGTTTGAGCCCAGAATGGATATTGTAGTAACTTATCGAGACACTGTCTCAGAATTTTAGGAAAGGGAAGGGGCTGATGAAGTTGCTGGGTTCAATCCCCAGTAACACTAAAAAAATATGTAATATGTACATGTATTTGAATTACGTGGTACCCCATTAATATGTACAACTTATATTTTTGTATCAGTTAAAATTTTTAAATTTCAATAAATAAAATTTCAAAAAAATCACTATAAAAGCTTTATAGTTTTACACTTAAATTCATGATCCTTTTTGAGTTAATTTTGTATAAGGTGTGAGTTTAGGTCAAGGTTGAAAGTCATATAATTCTTTCCTCTTTATTCATTTTTTGAAATTACAATGGCTTTCCTAGTTTGTCTTTACACAGAAATTTTTTAGTAAGCTTGTTTATATCTACAAAAAAATCTTGCTGAATTTTCATAGGAGTTACACTAAACACACATATCATTTGTGAGAAGTTGACATCTTTCCTGTGTTGAGTCTTCCAGTTTTGCATTTATTTAGATCTTTCATCAACATTATGTAGTTTTCAGCAAGTACATCCTGTGTGTTTTGCTAGATGTATACTTCTGTTAATTCTTCTAATTATTATGTTGTAATTATGATTTCAGTTTCCAAATGTTCATTGCTAGTACATACAAATAGTCAACTTTGTGTATTGATCTTGTATTTTTGCATCCTTGAAGAATTATATAGTTCCGAAATTTAACCATTTCTTGGGATTTTTCTATGTAGACCATTATGTCACTTGAAAATGAGGATGGATTTCCTTTTTCCTTCCCAGTTTGTTATGTTTTATTTCTTTTGTTGCTTTATTGCAGAACTACAACTTTCAGTACCACCTTGAATAGCAGTGGTAAGAGCAGGCAGCCTTGTCTTGTTCCTAATCTTAAGGAGAAAGTATTCAGTCTTTTAGTACTAAGTTAGCTGTAAGGTTTTTGTAAAAATTTTTTACCAAATTGAAACTACTCCTAGTTTGTGTTTTTTTCAAAATCATTTGTCAAATACTTTTTCTGTGTCAAGTATCATCATATGATTTGTCTTCTTTAACATGTTAATATCATGGATTACATTGATTTTTAAATACTGAACCAACCTTGTATTATTGGAATAAGCACCCATTATTAGTTAGCTTGGGTTGCCATAATAAAATGCCACAGACTGGGTGGCTTTAACAAGAGGGCTCAGTTTTTTATAAGAATCTTCTTTGCTTCCCACCTTTTTTGCCATGGCTTTCCTTGGTGCGTGTGATAGGGGTTGGGGAGGGAGTAGGCGCTTACTCTTCAATAAGGCCATCAGTCCTATTAGATTAGAGCCCCACTTATAACCTGATTTAACTTTTTTTCTTTTTCATTGAGTTTATTGGTACTTTTTAAATATATAGTACAGTTACATTCATTGTTGGGATCTTGTACCTTTACATGTCAGATCTTGGTTCTCATTTTTCCCCATACCCCTACCCTCCCTTTACCCCCTCCAACCTCCCCTATTTACAAAGACTTTGTTTCCATTTTTTCCTTTTCTCGTATTTTTTCTTGTCCCTTATTTCCTTTCCCCTACTCTTCGCACTTCCCCTACACCTTTGGCCCTTTTCTTCCTATTTCACATTATCAGTTAAACAATTTGGATTTCATTTACACTTTTAGTTTTTCATAGGAAAATGGATACATATTGAAGATATACTCCTAAGTGAAATAAATAAGTCACACATGTGTAAATACCTAATAGTTTCTCTGGTGTGAATAATCTGCAATAAAACATAAGATCCTAATAAGATTACTGTCATTTAGAAATGAGAAGAAAG